ATAATCCTGTAAAGTCCATAGAAATGACCTTTATTTTTTTCTTTAAAAGTGGCTCTTCCATTCTTTACCTGTATAATCTGATTTCCTCTTCCTTACAACAATGATTTTGTGACAGTGTTGCCTATAGAAAGAATTAAAAATAAAATTTGTTGCATCTTATGGATAGTTTGAGCTTTTCCTTGAGCTACACAAATCATGATGTTAAAGTTGTGTATATTATTCAAAATTTTTGTCACCATGGTTGGACCTCTACCAAATATCCTTTGGTTGTTTTGATTGGGTTTTTGTTTTTATTTTTTGAGACAGAGCCTCACTGTATCACAGGCTAGCCTCAAACCCCTGACCCTCCTGTCTCAGCCTCCGTGTGCTGGGCTTACAGGAAATGCCCCGACATACCCAGCATCAAGTTTCCTTCTTAAGCAAGCTATTAAAGACCCACTGCCAGGGGCTGCGGAGATAGCTCAGTAGAATAAGTGCCTGCCTGGCAAGCACAAGGGCCTGAGTTCAATCCCTGGTTCTGGAAAAAAAAAAAAAAAAAAGACCCACTGCCTTTTGTAGTTCAATCAATTCTCCATATCCCCAGTGTGCATCTGTGAATTCAAGCAACTCTAGTTAGAAAATATCTGCAAAAAATCTCACCCATACTGAACACATACAGATGAGTGTGTCATTATTTCCCAAACAAAGCAGTCTAAGAAGTATTTGTATGGCGTTCACAGTGTACAAGAATATTTTGTATATATGAGTTCTTAAGAGGTGTGTGCATTAAAGGCCTAGGCTTATGTTTCATGCTGATGGGAGGTGGTGAGAACTTTTCGTGAGAGGTTTGGGGTCCCTGGGCTGAGCCCTTGATGTGAATTCTGGGTGTCCAGCCCCTTCTACCTCTCTTTTGCACTCACCCATGAAGTGAATGCCCTCTTCCACTACATGGGCCCACCAGGCCCACAGCCATGTGCCAATTGCTCATGTACTGGACCTTCCAAATTAAACCTTTCATCAATTTAAGCTGATTAGCTTGGGTATTTTCTATAGTAATAAAAAGCTGACCAATACAATAAATAATCTAGAAATGACTCAAAGTATGCAGGAGGATGTTGGTTATGCATTTTATACAAGGGACTTGAGCACCTTGGTCTAGAACCATCCCTCCAGGCACCAGGCACCGAGCACCAAGGAACATCTGTCCTGGTGTAGGTTTCTGTCTGTGTAAACAGAGGAATTCTGGCCAGTTCTGTTGAATACCATCCTAATCTGTGTGCTTCCCTACTTACCTGCTTCTGAGAGTGGCCACAGAATCAGTGGTCACTCTGTGTATGCCCAGGCCCAATAGCAGGCACGCCTGTCTGCATTAGACCTTGTGCAGCCAGCTGGGCATGGCACAGAGGTGTGGGGTCATTTGCCCCCTAGGGGGAGCCTGGGACCAGTGAATGGAGGCTCTTCCTCCTCTGTTAGTGGTCAGTTCAGGCAGCACTCTCTGTGCCTCTCAGGAACCCCACAGGTCAGCCCTCTCTGCTCACGTCTCTCGTCTCAGTCTCCTGAGTCCTGCTTCCCAAATCTGCCTCAATAAAGACAATGTTAGAGTGTAACGTGGATATGAATATACAGTTATTCCTTAGGATCTGCAGGGATTGGCTCTAGGACAAACTGTGGACGCCACAATCCTTGGGTGCCCACATCCCTTGTACAAAATGGTGTGTTCCTTGCAAACCTGTGCACAGCCTTCCATTACTTTAAATTATCTCTGGGGGACTTAAATCCCCAATACAATGTAAGCACTACATCAGCAGTTTACACCCTATAATTTTGGGAACAATGACAAGAAAAAGGTCTGAGTGTGTTCAGTACAAAAGTAAGCATCACAGGCCTAACCGCTTAGTAGGCTGAATCTGCAGGTACGACATTCGTGGGTACCAAGGGCCAACTGTAGTGCTTTATTCTCAGATACACTCTGGGTAGCAAAATATCTGGTACCAGTGCAAATCGCTTTTCCTGCTCACAGCTCAGAGCTGGTAACTGGACGCTGCTGCTGCTGCCCAGTTTCTGGCTCTGAACATCTCAGGTCTGGCTTTTCTCACCTGAGATGTAACCACCAGCCCTGCACCTTTATCACCACACTGGTGGACAAGGGCTGCCAGTGCCCTAACCAGGCACAGAAATGACTGCAAAGCACATAAATATCGACCTAAACTGCCGTACTTTGGATCTTACACGCCCCCCAAAGGCCTGTGTTTTACAGCCTGTGTCCCAACCTATGGCACAATGGGCAGGTGATAGACTTTTAAAAGGTGGGGCCCAGTGGGAGGAGGTGAGGTCACGGGGAACATGACTTTGGACAGGATATTGGCCCAAAACAATAGGGTCAAGTGACATAAAACTTCTAAAGCTGTCAACCAAAATAAACCTTTCTTTGCTTTAAGTTGATTGCCTCAGGCATTTTGTCACAGTAGTAAAAATGTGTCCAACACATAAGTCTAAACTGCATGGATCTCCATTTCAGTTTCTTCTTAGCTTAAGTTGAGGGAATTCCCAAAATTCCCATGACTACTCCAGTGTCACTGGCTAAATCTAAAATTTTTCAGATTTTTCTATGAATATGACCATGTAAACACATTTCTAGTGCTTCTCCCAGGGCTTTGGGTAGGATCCTAAGACTTCAGTAGATTTATGGTGGATCCACATCCACTCACAAAGTCAATGTGCCAAGCAGTGTGGGAGCCTTAGCTCTGGGGGCTGATACTCTTACAATGTTGTCTTGGTTACCTTTCTCTCATTGCTGAGACACAATACCCACCACCCAAAACTAAAGGAGGAAAAGTTTACTTAGCTCACAGTTTGTAGAAGTTTCAGTCCATAATCAGCTGGCTCCAAGGCAGGTGGCAATGCAGGGGGGCGACGCTTCATGGTGGCAGAAGATACCAAAGGCAACAAGAGGAAAAGGGAGGAGTGAGAAACAAGTCTCCTTCTGTCCCTCATGTTGTATGTAGGCTACCTGCCCTGGGGGTGCAGCACGCACACCCCAACCCCAGGACTAGACAACAAACCAATCACAAGCTCTCCAATCAGCCACCTCTGAAAAGCCCAGTCCCCACGACCACACGGGGACACCTAGACATAAACCATAACAAATTTCAACCTATTCATTTTGTCACATAGGCAATGACCTTGGTTCCCTGAAGGCAGACCAACAAAGGACATCAGATCACTGTCACAGGGCTACTATTTTAAGCAGGAAATAAAACCAAGGAGACTTCGTTGGAGAGCGAGGGGTCTCGAGGCATTGGGCTGCAGGAGCCTCGTGTATCCACTCCCGATGGACATGTCCTCTTGCAGGATCTTTTTTTTTTTTTTAACAAAAGCAGCTTTATTCAAATTGAATAAGGACAGGTTAAATGCACTGCCAATCTGGAATAGCAGCAAAAGTAATCCAGTCTTTCCTTTTATAGGATCTTGGCACTCACAGAACCCAGTTGAGTGTAGCAATGTCTCCTGTTATCTTTTAAACACCAGCCACCAATACCTGTTATAACACTGCCTTTTAATCTGAAATCTGAATCATTTGGTCTCACATACTCAAAATGCTACACTAAAGCTGTATATTCTTTTAGAAACAATTCTATCCCATCCCTCCCCTATGCTTCCAGTGTACCTTATCTGAACTCCTATTTCCAAGAATACTCACCAAGTTAGTAACTTTGTCTTGCTTTTTCTATTGTTGAGGACAGGGAATTCTTTTTTGGCCCTGATCATCTTCAGAAGTCCTGGGGGACAGAGGTTATTTTAAAAGTTGAGGGGCCGGGGAGATGGCTCAGTAGAATAAGTGCTTCCCTGGCAAGCACAAGGGCTTGAGTTCAATCCCCAGTTCTAATAATAATAATAATAATAATAATAATAATAATAATAATAATAATAATAAAAGTTGAGGCAAAGCCAAGCGGCCTGAGAAAGGAGAACCTGGGAGTAAATGAGAGGTGCCCAGGCCTGACCAGCTCCTTTCTTTACCTAGGCATCCTCTGTGTTCTTGCCACCTGCTCCCACCTCCAGGAAAACCTGTTGTAGGGGACTTGACTACCCCCTACACACCTTAGGGCATCATTTAGTTGTGTAGTAATAAGCTCTCTGCACTATAACAAAATGCCCTTATCATTAGCTTCTTCTTTTTTTGTCCCCAGAATTACAATCACGACCTCACACTTGCAGGGCAGCCAATGTACAGCTGAGCTCTATCCCCACCCTTATCATTAGCTTATAAAGAGAAACGGCCTAGTTAGGCCCTGATTTGGGAAGTTCTAGCCCATGACTGATTTCCTCCGTCTTTGCTGTGGGCCTGTGGTGAACACACAACAGCAAGAGGACATGGCAGAGAAAATTGCTTATCTCATGGCCAGGAAACAAAAGCAAGAAAAAGAAGGGCTCCAGGGTCCCACAGCCCCTTCAGGAACATGCTGGCAATGCCCCAAAGACATCCCTCTAGGGCCAGGTGCGGTAGTGCATACCTGTAGCCTAGCTACTATACTTCTAAAGCTGAGGCTGGTGGATTACAAGTTCAGCGTCATCTTGGGCAACCTAATGAGACTCTGTCTCAAAGTCAAAAGTGAAAGGAATACAGCTCAGTGCTGGGCACTTGCTAGTATCACCACTCTATCCCAGCACCACCCTCCCCGCTAAAAGAAAACTCTCATGAGGTCCTGCTTCTCAAAGCTCCTACCATCTTCCAAGAGCACTCTCCTGGGCACCACGCCTCAAATGCACAGGTGTTGGGGGACATTTAACATCCAAGCCCTAGGGACCAGGTACCTAAGGGCCAGGTGTGTCCAGGTCTGTCCTCACTTTCTCCACTCCAGGCCTACCCAGATGGGTTTCTTCTGTGAGATTTGACCGAGTCCTTCTCTAAGGCCTGGGAGCCATCTGTAGGCATGGGAGCTCCAGGTGCTTTCTGTCACTTCCAAGCACCCAGGATCCACAGGCTGGCTGTGGGGTCAGTCCTACCTGCAGTTCTGTGCCAGCCTCCCTTGCGCTGCTGTCTTCAGCCTTGAGTGTTTCTGCACTGTGGTGGCTGAGTCCTGACTCATGAGGGGCACTTCAGGGCCTTCCTTGGCGGCAAGCTCCCATCTCCCCAGTTTCTCCATTTCTGGATGGGGGAACTCTGTGAGAAGTCCAG